GGGCACTATGTTGGTGACCCTGGTACTAGAAGGAGAAGTGTAAAGAAATGTTGACTCCATTCCCAGGTACTGTTGCTGTGCAATTGCAATCTTACTTATTTTGAAGGTTCACAGGAAGCCCCTTTAGAGTGTATGAAGTTCATATGTCGTCTAAAAATCAAACTGCTGTTCTGTTGATTGGCAGTCTTCCAGTCAAATTGTGACCTTAATGTACAAAAAAAGGGGATGGGACCAGGACCAGATTTAGGTTTGATGAGGCCTTCAGCTACTGAAGGCAATGGGGCCCTTTATATGTCCAGCTGTCCTTTGCTAACAACAAATTGTTGCTGTTTTTCGTGTTGAATATATATGCTATTATGGACTTAATAGGCATCTAAAGCTATTTGCATATAACAAAATATGTATTTTATCAAAGTAATTGTCGAACTGAAATACAATTAAGAAGTATATTAATAGTGATTTTTTTTGAGGGGGGCAAGAGATTGGGGCCCTAAGCTATAGCTTGTTTAGCTTATACGTAAATCCAGCACTGGGTGGGACATTGCTTTTCTTTCCTGCTTTTCTCCAGCACAGTATTCATTGGATTTTTATTGTGTTTTAAGAAAGTTAGAATAAAAGTATCTAATGAAAAATACCCTCAAAAGGACATTGCTCAGTTACTAATACTATATTTTCATGCCTAATGTCTTTTTCATCCATATCTAGTTATGCAAAGTCTTGGAATACTCGAAGTTTCAGAACTGCTGTGCCTGCTTGCTAGAAAAGGGATTCAGTGCTTTTCCCTTGAGTTCATGGGATAAATTTATATCTTATCTCTTGCAATCACTCCAGGCATTATTAATATGTTAGAATTAAAAGCTCTTGATTTTTACCTGCTGGATCAGTACTCTACAGTACTTAAGCTCTCCAGATAAATCTCCACATCCCCATTTTCAAGTTGGGGGTGGGGAGATATGCCACACTGTTCTTAAAACATACCATTGGCACAAATAAATCTTCTCAAGAAGAAAAGATAATGGATTTAGGTAGAAAATTGATAGGTACTCTTGTTTCCCCCATGTAAAGAGCAATGGGTCATACTGTGATCACTGCAAAGGGTGGAGTCCCCAGTGGTGTAGACAAGTTTACTTGAATATGGTATGTGGGTAGCAACTCTGCAGATTAGTAAATGCATGTAGTTTGGGGGCAAGGCTTGTTAGTTCAATGTGTGGAGAAGAAGGCTATTGAATTCCATCAGGTAGCAAGACAGAAGGAACACCTGTGGCTAAATAAGGATTGCTTTCCTGTTTCATAATCAAAAGACATTTTCTTAGCATTCGTTATTATGTTGTGTTTTTATGCATTTTTATATTGTAAAGTACCTGATGATGATGATCATGATAATTTATTTATACCCCGCCCATCTGTCTGGGTTTCCCCAGCCACTCTGGGCGGCTCCCAACAGAATATTAAAACAGAATAAAACATCAAACATTAAAAACTTCCCTAAACAGGGCTGCCTTCAGATGTCTTCTAAAAGTCAGATAGTTGTTTATTTCCTTGACATCTGATGGGAGGGTGTTCCACAGGGCGGGTGCCACTACCGAGAAGGCCCTCTGCCTGATTCCCTGTAGCTTCACTTCTCGCAGTGAGGGAACCACCAGAAGGCCCTTGGCGCTGGACCTCAGCGTCCAGGCTGAACGATGGGGGTGAAGACGCTCCTTCAGGTATACAGAGCCAAGGCTGCTTAGGGCTTTGAAGGTCAGCACCAACCCTTTGAATTGTGCTCGGAAACGTACTGGGAGCCAATGTAGGTCTTTCAGGACCGCTGATCCTTGGATGAAAGGCAGTATATAAATGCAGTAAACAAAATAAATATACAAAATATCAGATTCACCCTATTTAAAGTTGTGAAGTTCAGTGGGTAGCCTTGGTAGGTTGCCCCTCTCTTAATGACTAACAGGAGTCATTGTGAGGATAGAGGTGGAAAATAGTTTAAATCTTCTGCTCCTTTGCGGAAGCATGGGATAAAAATATAATAAATACTTGAATAAGAAAAGCTGGTCATATTAAGCACCATTTTATACTGAAAAGTGTTCTTAGGTACTTGGCTAGCTTTTTCGTTGTGCATTGCGCACCATCTCTCTCAAATCTTTAAGCACATACAGACCTAATCTACAGCCAAAAAGCACATTTAACTTTTATGTAGCTTTTTACTAGCTTTCTTTGACTTTTTTTTTTAAAGTGGGGTTTTTTTTTAAAAAAAAGAAGTTGATATCAGCTTCTCCAAACATAAATAGCTTTGCAATATCACTCAGCGATAGATTATATAAGTAAGGTCAATTCATATAGCCTCAAAAATTTCTATAAATGTGCGTCAGTCACTTTTGAAAACCATACAAAGCACTGAATAACGTTGGATTATGAATTGTACACTGTAACCCTCTTAATACACTTTCTCCATAATTCCTCATTCTGTTCCTATTCACTGAAAAAGACATTTTACCTGGAGTGGTGTTGCTCATTTCATTGGCTCCACTCTTGTACAATCCGTTCAATATGTCTGACGTCATTGCCCTTTTTGACAACACTTTTTTTTAGCCACTTCTGGCCTGTGGGCCTAATGAGGCCTGAAAGGCTTCTCCATATGGCCCACGAGGCCATTTCAGGGAAGCCACACTCACCGCTCCATCACCCAAAGCAGGAAAAACACAGATTGGGTTGCAGAGGAACAATTGTGAGTGCACACTAAGCTTTGAGAGTCTGGTGCTATTTGAATATGGTGTATAACACGCAGGTCCTGCTACCCTCTTTCTCCTTACGTGAAAGAATCACTTATCCAAACATACCTTCCCCCCTCTCCTTTTTATGAGGGTTACTCGCTCTGGGATCCCACAGCTAATTCTCCTCTGATCTCCTCACTGGCCCAAATAGGACTAACTTAACCAGCTAGCCCTGGTGATCATCTAATGTTTATTGGATGGATTTCCCCCCTAAATTGATTTTTGAATTCTGAATTTATTGTTATTCACGTTTTATACTGTATTTTATGCTGTTTTTTGTTGCCTCAATTAAGTGTTTTAAATTTGTTGTTAGCCGCCCTGAGCCCAGTTTTCTGAACTGGGAAGGGCAGGGTATAAATAAATTATTATTATTATTATTATTATTATTATTATTATTATTATTATTATTAACTAATTATGCCCAAACCTCGCTATACGCACCACACCCAGAGTTTACCCACATCCTTACTTCCTTACTTGTTTGTGCTATGCTGGTTGGTTGCAGCCACTTCAGGAAGAAACCATGGAAGTGGGGGGGGGGGGAGAGATAGGAGAAATGATGCACAGTTGTACCTTGGATCTCGAACGCCTTGCAAGTCGAACGTTTTTGCTTCTGAACGCCACAACCCTGGAAGTGAGTGTTCCAGTTTGCAAACTATTTTTGGAAGCCAAACGCCTGACAGGGCTTCCGCAGCTTCTGATTGGCTGCAGGAGCTTCCTGCAGCCAATCAGAAGCCGCACTTTGGTTTCCAAACGTTCTGGAAGTCAGACGGACTTCCGGAATGGATTCCGTTTAACTTCCAAGGTATGACTGTATTAGAAATGTTCCCACAAGAATCAGTGGAAATTGTGGATTAGTTACGCGAACACTCACCTAATGAACCATCTCCAGGGAGTACATTGTGCTCAGTAAATGGGACCTGTGTGTATCTTGTGCTTCTTTCGGAAGGGGTTGGATACGCTCAAGAAATTGAGCTCCTGCATGTGTTTACTCCCTGCTGAAAGCAGTGGAACGGAGTAAAGCACCAAATTCAGGCCACCTCAACAAAGGAACCATCTGGAGCACACTCTTGGGTCTACTCTTGCAGACACAGCTTTGCATTACCTGTGCCCCTTCTGGTGTACGCTTCTGTTTTTAGTTAATTTATTACTCATTTCACCCAAACACAGAATGATGCTTAGAGTATACTATTGTGTTTTGGCTCTTGAGTACTGGAAGACCTGCTCCCTGCCTTGCAGGCCTTTTCCCACCTGGCCGAGAGGGCGGGGCCCTGATTGACTCCAGCTACAAAAGCTGAGGCTGCTGAATGGACTTTTGGTGTTGTTTAGGGGTTTTTGCTGTCTGGAGCGGGGGAGGGGAGTGTTGTTGCTATTATTGCTATTAATTTTTGCATCTTTATTTTAGATCTTAAGATTTATATGAAAATTGTTCAGTTTTGTTATTATTTTGTTTTATCTATTACTTATTGCTACTTTTGTTATGTTTGCGATTACGTAATTTTTTTCCATGTTGTGAGCCGCCTTGACCGTGGTTTTAACGATGGAAAGGCGGCATACAAATAAAATGATGTACGTCTCTTTGTAATTAAGCATGGCCTGGTCTGAAATAAATGAACAACGAATTGTAGGTTTTAGACAACAGGCAGTCAACTTTTGAAAGGTCACTCTTTTTAAGGACAGTCCCCTACCACTTTGAACTCCAGGAAGCTAATAAAATGGGCATAATGTTCTTTCACAAGCAATTAATCTAGATTAAACTATGTTGGTTACTTTGTGCACCTGACTCATTTCTCTGATATGCATTTCAAATTAATAAATATTCAGTTGCTTGGGTCTCTGTACTAATCTGACCTCAGTGGTTGGGCAGCAACGTCATGACTACTGAGCAAGGTTTCTACTGGCACAGGGGAAAATTGGCTTGAAACAAGAGTGCTAGAATGCCCCTGTATTAACCTGTTAGGCTTTTATGTCAATGGTAGCATCTGATGGAGCTTTGAAGCCAACAGGATCTCCCCCCCTCACCCCCACACTCCACCCCCAGACCAGTGATTCTGAACCCTTGCCCTGTGACCTGCACAGGGCTTTATATTTCTATATATTTATATATACAGTATATGTAACATAAGCAGGTGATCCTTGGTCTTTGGTGCTGGTGCTAAGAGACCTGCTAGACTATAGTATGTTTGACCCATACATTTAAAATTCATTCTTTCCTGCTTCATCCGTGGCCTTTTCTAGGTTGACTGGCACCAGCTGGATTATCTAGTAATTGACATGCCACCTGGGACAGGAGATGTACAACTGTCAATCTCACAGAATATCCCAATTGCAGGTATCTTTTTTATGGACTTACAGTGCAAGCCTAGCTGCACCTACTCAGAAGTAAGTGCTGTAGAATTCAGTGGGGTATATTCCTTGCAGCCTTAGTTGTGATTAAGGATGAAAAGCGCCAAGAGGCTTTTTGAATGGCAGTAACAATTTCTTAACTTTAGGTGGCATCTAAAGGGATCCAGAGTGGTGGAGCCATTTCACAGTTTGTCTCTTCCCTCTGTGTTGTTCTTTCAGAATGCCTGCCTGCCTGCCCGCCTCCCTCCATCAGAAAAGGTCTTAACTTGAAAAAGTTGAAAAATTTTGAAAAATTGAAGCCATACATTAGTTGAATTGAAAAATTGAAAAATTAGCCATACATTAAATGTCTCCTATTTCCCCTTTAAATCTTAAATTATTTTGGCTCTGGAATTTAAAGAGCAGTTTGATTTGAGGGTGGGAGGAGTGATGGGGAAAGGGATCTTGAGTAGCAAATATTGAACATACAGGTTGTATTTTATTGTTGTGACCTGGTCTGAGATTTGCTCAGTGATGAAGGGGGTGATAAATGTTTTGCAAATAATGATGTTCAAAGTGAATAACCATGTTTTGCAATCACCTGGTGAAGTGGAGTTGGAAACAATGCTTTTAAGTGGATTGGCAAACAACAGTAAATGTTTCCAATTCATATACAAACACTGGGTAGCAGCTAGGTGTTCAGTATGAGATATATCTGTGGTCCCCAAGTAGCAGCCATGGACAACCTAGCATGCTCAGCCTGCCAAGGCCTCCACCTCCCTATACATCTTGTTGAAAAAAATGTATATAATTACTCTAAAAAAAGAAGAATTAAGATAAATCACTGATTAGACTATTGTGGAGAGACCACTTCACACCAGAAGCTGCCTGGCTTGGTTTGCAAAGAAGCAATTTAGATATAGCCAGAAGGAATCCTGCATTGCAGAGCTTTTAAAGTAGGCTTAGATGTCTCTTTCTGTTTGCCTTAGAAGAATCGAACTGTTTTCAGTAAACTGGCTTTTTGCTATTGGCGGAGGGCTGTATAAATAACACTAGCCATAAGTTGGTTTTTATTGAATAATGTTGAAGGCAGAGCAACGAATTTCTACATACAAGATTGTTGAGAAAATGTGAGCCAGCGTCAGTACATGTCAAAAGAAGCATAATCCAGGCAACGTCTTGTTCATTCAATCATCCTTAAAGTAGTTCATCTCTGAAAAGTGATTAGGTAAAAATTATACATTCTGCTTAAGCAGAGCTGTTTCTCAAGTGAATTTCAGTCGCATTTGCTGATTTTAATGATCAAAATAATTTCATACTTATCAATCCTATTAATCCTGCAGAGGCAATACTGCTTAAGGGGGAAGAATTTGAATCCTGTTCCTCAATGAGATTGTCACATATTTGATTTATGAATATTTTACTATGAATGAATGAATGAATAAATGTGTTGGGAACTGTTAGGGAGTGGGAGGGAAGGAGTAATTGCTAAGTAGGAAATCATGTTTATCTCAACTATAATGGTGGGTTTTTATATGTTTGGTTAGGTGTAAGCAGGTTCCAGAATTGGAAGTTGCCTGAAATGCCTGTAGTAACTTGTGGACTTTAACTAAAGTACTAACCATGTGAAAAGAAAGCAATTGAGTTAATGGAGGCAAAGTCGTAATTTCCAGGCATTGTTTTCAGTGGCTGCTTTGCCATAGTAGAAAGGGCTTTCACTTCCGTAAGTTGAGGCACCGTATTTTCACTGATTCCCTCCCACCCATGAAAACTTTTCCAAAGGGTTGGGAGATGCCTTTGATCAGAAGGGGAAATGACATAGAGAGCTGCAGAATATCTGGTTCCCCAATTTGCATGAACGGAGGCACTTTCTGCTCAAGCAAAGCCACCATTAATCTTTAATAGAGTTCAATATATGTTTGCACATGGCAGTGTTCCGTGGAACGAAACAGCCTAATTAAGCTCAATACTAGCATTCTTGACAATATTGGCTGTAACAATGGCATATATTTCCTTTCCCTAGGGGCTGTGATGGTGTCCACTCCTCAGGATATCGCTTTACTGGATGCACGCAAAGGAACGGAGATGTTCAAAAAAGTGAATGTGCCGGTGAGCCTTTACAAATGCACCGTATTTTTCGCTCTATAGGATGCACCGGACCATAGGACACACCAGAAAGGAGGGGGAGAACAGGAAAAAGAAATTCTCCCCCTCTCTGCTCAGCACCCCTTCAGCGAAGCGGTAGGAGAAACGGAGCCCCTTCCATTTTTCCTCCCGCTTCGCTGAAGGGGCGCTGCGCAGAGAGGGAAAACTGTGCAGTGCCTCTCCAGTGAAGCAAAGCCTGGAAAGCAAGAGGGATCGGTGTGCACCAACCCCTCTCGCTCTCCAGGCTTCAGGTGGCTATCCTCAAGCCTTCGGAGCACAGTGGGAACTCCTGCTGCGCTCCGAAGGCTTTGCGGATAGCCGCCTGAAGCCCCCGGAGCGCAGTGGGAGTTCCCGCTGCACTCCAGGGGCTTCAGGCGGTTTCAGCAAAAGCAACGCGAAGCCTCTGGAGCGCGGGGAGAGCTCTCCCTCTGCGCCTCGGAGGCTTCGTGTTCCTATCGCTGAAGCCAAGGGCCTCCATTCGCTCCATAGGACACACACACACTTCCCCTTAATTTTTGGAGGGGGAAAAGTGCGTCCTATAGAGTGAAAAATATGGCAAGTTGTTTGATCCCTCTAAATAATGGGTATGTTTTAAGAGGGGCATATGTGGTCCAAGGGCCAGACTGGTCACCAAAGAATTCCCCCCCCCCCAATCTGGCCCCTGGAGGCCCTGTCAACTTGTAACTTGATGGTGGGTTTTTTTTGCCTGCAATTCAATCTTAAGGGAAGACCTGCAGCTTAGTGGGTAGAGTGCATGGTTTGCATGCCAGAGGTATCCAGTTTGATCCCTCGTGGGTCTGGGAAAAACTGCCAGCTGCAGTGGGTGGGTGGTCTGATTTCACTATAAATATACCAAAGAAAGTCACAATTTTGCTTATAAGTAAAATCACTTTTCTTCAAAGTTGAAGGAAACCCACAAGGCTAATTGTTCTGCCTTTGTAAAGCGATTGGTACTAGATGCATGGTGTCTTACCATTTGTGATCAATCTGTGGAGCAGGTTTTTGACTCGCCCCCACAAAGCCATTTGAATAATACAGTGGTTTAGGTTACAGGCACTTCAGGTTACAGGCTCCGCTAACCCAGAAATAGTACCTCGGGTTAAGAACTTTACTTCAGGTTGAGAACAGAAATCGCAGTGCGGCAGCAGCGGGAGGCCCCATTAGCTAAAGTGGTACCTCAGGTTAAGAAAAGTTTCAGGTTAAGAACGGACCACCAGAACTAATTAAGTTCTTAACCCAAGATACCACTGTAGTGGCCATTTAGATAATAGTATTTTAATAGTACAGAAGGTGATAGTACCTGTTCTCTAAGAAATTTATGTTTTTCATGGTTGTTGTTCTAGTTGTTGATACTTTTTTGGGGGAAGAAACTTGCCTGTATGCTATAAATAACAGATGAGCTCTGAGGGTGATAGCAAAATTATTTCAGAAGTGAATTGTGGGTGTACTGCTTTGCTATACTAAAACACAGCCTTTGTAATCCTAAATATACTACAGTACAAATTAACCTGAAAGTTGCCAGCTATACTCCTACATAACACACATGCAGTCTTCCCTTATTTAGATATATTTGAGAAGTTTGAACGAATGAGTTTTCCATACAGAGAATTTAAACTTTTAGCTGCATGGCTAGCAAGGATGAATACAAACTCATGGACCTCCTAGGTCTGGCACTTCCAAGACCTGCCATAAGCCATTGTGCAACAAATAAGGGGAGTTGAAAATGAAGGACTGTAAAGGGTGCTGGTTGATGCAGTGACATTGTTACTTTACAGTGCTTCATAAGCAAACAAATCAATAGCTTCCCCCCACCACCCCAGACAACGGGGGAAGACAGCAAAGATGGGTAGAGGAGAATATTTTTTTGAGAGACACCATTCTGAAGCTTGCTCAGATATTTTAATCTGGTTTTCAGAGTTGGTGAGGGTTTCTACCACATGTTTCTCCTCTCACTGCCACCAAACTCATCTTTTGATTTGAAACATACAAAATCTGAGAGACAGTAATATTCACTGGAAGAACCACTGATGGTTAAGTATGAAGGTAATGGTTAAACATGGTAATACTTTAAAGCACAATGAAATATGGAGAAATAAATAATAAATCAAAGGAGGTATGTGTTATTTCACAGTGTGTTATACTTGTACAGCTAGTACTTAATCAAGACACAGCTTAGACAAAAACCCATAAAAAGGCTGTTTATCTTCTGCAGTTCCTTACAGAATTACTCATAGAATTTGGTATCTGGGGCAGGATGTTCCTGAGAACAGAACAAAAGTCTCATTATAAAATAGCACGGGCTGAAAGTTATCGGGACATCGCTGGTATACATACTATATAACAAGTCAGTTTCAGTCATTTCCACACTGCTGGCTTTTTTTTTTTTTTTTTTTTTTGTAGACCTGTTTCATTTAAAGATGAAAGCGTTTCAAGACAGATAAACAAATTATAAATAGGACAGAGCTGAAGTGCATTGCTTTTCCGTGAATATGTTTAGCAGTGTCAAAAAACTTTATCCACACCCTTGGCGACCTCCAGAATTTTATATGAAAGGGTTCAAACATGTTTGCCGGCACAGGAAGTATTGCCCTCATTCTTACAATGTTTGCCCTCCGTGATAGCATCAAAGAGCCAAATATGCATAGTGCCATGGCGCCGTATTCCATAGGAGTGGCAGACCTGTAGCCCTGAGCCAGATCTTTCCCACCAGATCCAGTGTACTGGCAGCGGCAAAACCTGCACAGACCAATTGCCACCCCAGGGAGCATCAGAGCAGATTGGAGTGCTCCTACCTGCTTCTGGAATGCTCAGTCTTGTTATGGTGGCAATGCAAAAAGGAACCAAGGTACCTTGTTCTGTTGCAGTTTGCCGCAACCGAGGAGGGCGGAGGCGTGGGTTGAGTAGTTCTAGGCAAGAAGGAACACTTTTTAGGTTTCCCCGCTGCTCTGGGAGTGCTGGCCATGGAGTTGGTTTTTTTTCTTCCCAAACCTATCAGACATTGTGGGGGGGGGGACTTCAAAGGGCTTTCTTTAAACCCACCATGCCCTCACCATTAGAGCTCTCCAGCGGGAAAGGGACAATGGGGAGGTGGCCTTTGTGTGGCAAGAGTACGAGCGTCTGGGTGCAAGTGGCAGTGAGTTTGGGTTGGCAGTGCCCACTTTGGCAGCTCCTACCACTGGCCTTCCAGGAAGAAGAAGGAGTTGGAAGTAGCAGCAGATTGAGCAGGTCATAACAAGGAATTTGGGGTGGGTGGGAATTGGGGTGGTCTTGAAAAGAACATTTTTACCTATGTGAACGTTTGGCACATCCCTAATGACAAAATATAGATAACCCACACTATTGCCTACCTTTAAGAACTATTATTCACGTGATGTACCCTTAAGCTTAATTAAAAATAGTATCAATCATCTCTGTAAATAGTTTCCTCTTTTTAAAAAATTAAACTCTGGCAACTGTGGTGCTGGTTCAATTAGAGCTATGCCCAAGGAGTTCACTTCTCTTGAAACTGAAGTAGCTCATACTGAGAATGTACTAAGTATCTGATATGGAATCAGAGCTGAAATATCTCATTGGGCATTTGATATTTAGCATCAGTATAATATTATCTTTGATGCAGTTGAGTTGCACCTTATGCTTGCTTCAGCAGCATATATACATAACCAGCTCCATTTCAGATCCATTCCAGCCCTTTTCTTCTGCCTCTGTCTCCCTCTGCTCCTCCCTTCTGCTTTCGTCATCCTCTGCCTGTCTGCCTCCTCCTCCCTTGTGCTGGTTGGGGAGAGGGAAGGCAGTGGAGACACAAGGCAGGCTCCCACCTGCCAGCCAGGGAAAAGGTAATTTTGGTTATACGTGCAACCCGTGGAACAAACCCTTGTGTATATGATACAGTACATTGCAACTGTACTTCCTATCCGTGTTTGGTATGACACTGTATGCTCTGCCTGAACCTCATATGATGGCAAAACCAAAACACCGCACTTTAATGCCACAGGTGAAAATGCAGTCAAATAAGATCCCTTCAGCTTCAATTATCCAATGCATGAGGTGGGCTGTGGGGATGAGCATGCTAGCTTTGCTCCCCCCCACCCCATTTCCCCCCATTGCCCTCAACTTGTGCAAGGAAGGTGACTGCGTGAAGCAGTGAGCCTTCTATATCTGTGGAGGCGCTCTGCACATTTTGGAACCCTGATTTTCTAAGATTCTGTTGCGTTTGGGGTGCCTTCACAGATACAGGCAGCTCCCTGCTTTGCACAGTCGCCCTCCGTGAACTGAGGGTGACAGGAACGACAAGTGGAGGTGGGCAGAGCTAGCATGTTTCTCCGGACTGCCCCTGGCGTTGCTTGGAACATGCTGCATGCTCAGAGCTCATCAAACTGCCTAATAACTGAAAAGCCTGCCTAAACAAGTAGCTGGGCAAAACTTACAGATAATTTTTCAGGGCTGGGTTATTTGAAATAGTTCTTTTCCACCTCTCCTGTGCTCAAGGCAACTCACACAATATTTCAGAGATAAAAAGTAAACATTGGGGGGTGGGATACAGCAGCAGTCATCAAGACACCTTCAGCTCACAAAGACTTCCTAAACAGATGGGTTTCATAGCTGCTCCTAAAGGCAAGAAGATTGTTCCACAACTACTCAGCTTCTTACTGTGGCTGAGCTGATTTCCTGCAATTATGATATTCAGACAGGATATCTGAAGTGTAGCTCTCTCTCTCTTGGTGATCACTCGTGGCCAAGTAAGATTGTCTTCCGTGAACACAGGTTCTGGTGCCCGTAGAGTCCCATCTTCCTGGTGAAATTATATTTGAAGTAAACCTTCTATTGTCAACAGAATACTTCTTTCACCATAATCATGGTGCAGGGGTGATTTCAGGGTGGATGGGTTTACTGCTGGGGAGGGGAGATTTGTGGCAGGCATGTTGTGCCCATATGGTTTTCAAATGTGCCCATGGGGCCCACAAAGGTTGGCAAACCATGATCTAGAGCATTTATGGGATGGTTAGGGCTGACTGAGTGCCAGATGGAAATAGGGAGGAGGGATGTTCTGCTGTATGTGTGACAGACACAGACTATACAAAAGAACAGACTGCTGTGTTGACTTCTAATTAGGGCCTCTTTAAAAATGGATGTTGGCCAGACCATAGAAATTAAGATCAAATGAGCCTGGTTCATAACTGTATTACAAGAGCCAAACCATGCTCATAACTGCAAGCCGTAGTCAACCTATATGCTGGCAGGGGAGGTGAGTGTCTGTATGGACAGAGGTGTGTTTGACAGTTTTTATGGCAGCCAATTGCCTTGAATGTGAATGCTAGGTTTCAATGGAAAAGTGGCTTGCTCATTCAGCCCAGTGCAACATAAACTGTCAAAAACACCTCTGGATATGCATACACCTCTTCCCAGCTCATGCATACTGCCGCATAGAATTACAGCCCTAATCTTGTGCTGCATACCAAAATCAGTTATTTTGTCTGCATTTGTTTTACCGTTCGGCTATATGTGTTTTAAATATTTATACTGTGCCTCCAAGTATTACTATTAGATATGAGAGGAGAAGAGACATAATATTTGTTGTACTTTTTCCTCAATTGTTATGCGCTAAGACGCACTGCTCTGGTTCTCCAGAAGTGGCTTAGTCATGCTGGCCACATGACCCGGAAGCTGTACGCCGGCTCCCTCAGCCAATAAAGCAAGATGAGCTCCGAAACCCCAGAGTCAGCCACGACTGGACCTAATGGTCAGGGGTCCCTTTACCTTTACCTTTAAGACACACTGAACTGGTACAGGGAGAGGCAGAAGCTATGGAAAACAGTGGTGACAAAGGTCAGCTTCCTCCTCTCATCTTATAGCCAGGCCTAGAAGCTCTTTCGCTGTAGAGATGAATTGCTGTGCACCTCTAGATTGCCTTTCAGTAAGTTCTTTCGAATTCTGGCTTCTGTCCTAGTGAACTTCCAGTATTACGTCTGCACACACCCTGAATAGTATGCACATCCAAATGTCCTTTATGCAAAAATCAACCCAGTTTAATAGGTATCCATAATCGGGCTTGGTGAGTTTTCTTTTGGGAGGGGGTTCATTGCCATATGTACTTTTGGGGATTCCTCATACAGTCGTATCTCGGCTCCCGAACACCTTTGGAGTTGAATGATCTTGGCAGTCCCGAACAATCAAAAACCGGAAGTGAGTGTTCCGATTTTTGAACGTTCTTTTGGAAGCTAATAGCCCTATGGGGCTTCCGCGGCTTCCAATTGGCTGCAGGAGCCAATTGGGTTCTCTTCAACTTCCGAGGCACGGCTGTATTTGAATTTAGCAAGCATAGCACACATGTGCTAGGTTTATATTACACCAAACTCTTGTTAGCCTCAGAAATATAATTTGAAACACTGAGTTCAAATCTGTTGATAATAAATAGGCTTAATACCACAAGTAAGAGAGGCGATTCTAATGTTTTTCTAGGCTTGGGCAAAGGGGAGAGAAACTAGTGTGCAGAATGTGGTTTGAGTGATGAATAAAATATAATTAGTCTCCCCCCCCACTGTCCTCATTAAGAAAGAAAGAATTGATGTTACATACAGCCTTGCTAACTTTCCTGACAGGTTTTCTAAGTTAACTCAGTTTATTTAGCTTTTAAAGCGACATCTAATATAAGTGCATTAGGTTTTCCTTCAGTAATTTGTCACATCATGCCAGATGTCATTATTTCTGTTGTTTGATTTTTAAATATGTTTCTCTTCTTTAGAGTGAATAGAAAATCATAGTTCTTTCCTCCCTTCTCCCCATCCCCCCTTGTAAGTGGTCCAATGAAACTGATGCTTTAAGGGCATAGATAATATTACAGAGAATGTTCACAGTTTTCCTTTAGCTTTGGAATAATTTGGCTACTAACAATGAGTTCACATTCAATTGTCAGTCAAGGCAGCAGATCACCTTATTTATTTAGCCTGTTGCTCACAACATACTTACTTGAGAATAAGCCTCATTGCACAAAGTGGGATGTACTTCTGACTGTACATGCTTAGAATTGCACTCACACCATTTTTTGCAGAGGTTTTAAGCTCATTTGCTTGGCGTGAGTTGGAGCTGAGAGACTTAGAAAGTTGGCAGTTTTGAATTTCAGAAAAAGTAGCTCTGACTCGCCAGAGCTTGAAGCTCTAATAATAATAATAATAATAATAATAATAATAATAATAATAATAATTTATTTGTACCCCACCCTTCTGGCTGGGTTTCCCCAGCCACTCTGGGCGGCTTCCAACAGAGATTAAAATACATTAAAACATCAGTCATTAAAAACTTCCCTGAACAGGGCTGCCTTCAGATGTCTTCTAAACGTCAGATAGTTGTTTATCTCTTTGACATCTGATGGGAGGGTGTTCCACAGGGCAGGTGCCACTACCGAGAAGGCCCTCTGCCTGGTTCCCTGTAACTTGGCTTCTCGCAGGAAAGGAACCGCCAGAAGGTCCACGGCTGTTGTTCCTTTTGAGTGGTCAGTGATTTGAAATGGGCGCTGCTTACCGATTTTCTTTCTGCTTGCTCAACCTGTGAATTGTTAATAAAGAGCTACTCATCAGAACTATAATCTTCCCAAAGTAACTGATGCTGCCTGGGATCTTCTTACCGCTCAGAGAATGGTGGGTACAAAAAACATAATTGTAATGGATGGAATTTCGTGTTGTGCTATGACAGTTCTTCTGTCTACATGAACAGCCTGCCAAATGGAACAGTCCCCTCTCTTCTCCCCCTGCACACAGCCCTGCAGAAGCGCTGATTTGGGCACCAGATTGTGGGTGCCCAGTGGTGTGTGCATTGCTCTGCCACCACCTGCCATCGCAGTGGCGCCAGAGAGTCAGCAGAGGTAAGGCACTGAGCAGTGGCAGCCCAGCAGCCCGCATGTGTGACAGCAGGGCACCCACAGTGGAAATTTTGTGGGTGTCCAGGCACCCAGGTCCCCCAGAGATGGCATCCGTGCTACCCCTGGGTGTTTCCCCAGTCCCCTCCACCCCCAAGCTAATGGGGGTGCAATGGGGAGTTTGGGGAGAGAGGAGGGGGAGGAAATCCCTGGTGCACAAGTGGAAGTCATTGCATTGGGCTTCTGCTGACAGGGCTCATTAGAGTAATGCTGCACAACATATTTATAGCATGCTTCATGATCGTATTCATGATGTCAAAATTGTGAAATGTAGACATGAGAATAATTTCCCTACCATCTAGAGTGGGGGCAGAGCTTTTCTTTTATGAGTAATTGGTAAGTGTCTGGATTTATTTCTGTAAGGTTGGCTAGTTGGAAGAAACTAACCTTTTCTATTTTTTATTTAGCCTCTTTCTAACCTTTCTGAGTTTTTTCTATTTGCCAGGTCTTGGGGCTTGTTCAAAACATGAGCCTTTTCCAGTGCCCAAAATGCAAACACGAAACCCACATTTTTGGAACTGATGGTGTGAGGAATCTAGCCTGTGATCTTGGTCTGGATGTTTTAGGTAAGAATGTGGTGATTGAAAGTATTAAATAAAAAAGAAGTAGAATTAAATTCAGAATTATTTGATTGCTCTTTAATCCTATTGAAATAAATGGACTTCAGGGACTCAACTTTTGGCAGTGTGTTCAGGATTACTGTGATATATAGAAGGAAATGCAGAATATGATTTATTTGGCCTTGATCCTACACATCCCCTGTTTTACATCATACATGTTTCCAAGTACAGCGTTAATATGATTGGACTTGCATGTATCACATCATAGGAACCTTTTTTCTGATGAAATTGTGTTCAGAACGCATCTGACTCTTTAAAAGAGGGAGCAAGGGAGAGAAAGAAGGTTGTAGTAGTGATCTTCTGTTTCCTGAAAGAAGATGGCTTATCGGCTAGACGAGAAGCAGGTCTCCGAAGTTCTTCAGCTGGGGTGGAACAAACCTTCCCCAGCCAGGTTTCTTACGAGGGTGGCTCCCCATGTTTGGATTTGTAGGAACAGTTCCATATCCCTCACCCTAATTGAGGATGAGTGATAGATGCAGGAAGATAGGACTAAGGGGCGGGGTCCACAACAAAGAGATTTAGTCAGACCAACAGATTTACAGGCAAACTTTAGGTAAGAGTGGGTTGGTTTAACCCCACCTGCCCTTTTTCTACCCTACTGTCCGATCAAGGCTCTAAGTTGCACCTTCCCTAGATGAACTTTGCCATTTGAGGCCGTTACCTGTTGCTGCCCATCTTGTGGTTTCTGATGGCTTACCTGGTTAGGATGCAAATGCAACAGTTTCTGTTGCCATAACCTCTGGCTGCAGCCTTCATATTTCAAACTCAGGTGTGTCATTAGCAAGAGGAGCTACTCATTTCTGTTCCCACAGCTTGGCTTCTTTCTCAAAAACTCCTGTTACCACCACCACCCCTTTCCCCATATATCCTCTGCCCACTGACTCCTCTCACCTCACAGCTCCCTCCCTGTCTTTAACCCTGGTCTGTAGCTCTGCCTGCCATGGCCCCTTTCCCCAACCTAGTGCTTTCTTTCGACACCTTGCTCTGCTCTGGAGCCCCTTCAGACTGTAGCTCTCTCAGCTCATAGGATAGCAACGCAGTTATGGCTGAGCGGAGCAGCCACGAGGGCAATTTGACCAGGAGAATCTGGCCCTCCACGCTGAAAATAATTAACAGTCCCCGATGAAAATCATTCTTCTGCGTTGAAGCCTGCAATGTTTCAGGTATAAGCTGGTAATGAAATGTAAAATGTGGCATACCTCAATTAAGCTGGTAAATGAGATAATTGTGCCTGCTAATGATTTATATTTTCACACCGTGCTATAATTATATCAGTTCATACAGATTATCCATTTAGAACCAGGAAGTGAACTTCATGAAAAAAATTTGTCATAGAAGCATTAGGGGCTGACAGAGACCTAGCAGAGCAAGGAAATCCATAATTAAAAGTACACAGTTGGGTTAGCTTGGCTGTCTGCTGGAAGCGTAATGAGGATTGGAGCCTGGGATCTTGTTTCAGCTGTCACTGGTACTGACCACTGGCAAGAAGCCTCCCATGGCAAAACTTCCCGCAATTAGAGTTGATTCATGGTCCTTCTGACGTGCACCTATATATTGGAGCACGTAATTAGTGTAGAGTTATCTGCATCGGATACGCCAGAGAGTCATGAAACACAATTGCATCCAAAGTAACACTGATCAGCATGTTCCATCAGTGCGAGGGTTTTGAATCATTGAATTATAGAGTTGGAATGGACCTCAAGAGTCATCTAGTCCAAACCCCTGCAATGCAGGAATCTCAGCTAGAGCATCCATGACAGATGGCCATCCAACCTCTGCTTGAACACCTCCGAGGAAGGAGAGTCCACAACCTCCCAAGGGAGACCGTTCCACTGTCAAAGAGCTCTTACCGTCAGAAAGCTCTTCCTGATGTTTAGTCAGAATCTCCTTTCTTGTAACTTGAATCCATTGGTTCAAGTCAAACCCTCTAGAGCAGGAGAAGACAAGCTTGCTCCATCTTCCATGTGACAGCCCTTCAGATATTTGAAGCTGGCTATCATATCTCCTCTCAGTCTCCTCTTTTCCAGGCTAAACATACCCAGCTCCCTCAACCATTCCACATAAGGCTTGGTTTCTGCTTGCACAACAGGATTCCCCTCTGTAAATACCTTCTAGGGTTCCCCCAATCCCCTAGAGGAGATTTGTGTATGGGGGGGGTCCCGAATCTAATGTTTCTGGCTCCCCAAGACCACTGATTTTGACATCAGTAGCAAAAGGTAAAAAGAAATAAAGCAAGAATGGCATTGGGACAGAGAGGTTTAAATTTCTCCACCAGCCCAGCACCTTGATAAGGATCTAAATCGCATCTTCTCAGTCATCAGATTGATATTTTTACAAGCAAGCAAAGGATAATAACCCTTTCTCCTCAGTTGATATACACATATAAGTTGAGGAGAGGACTGTGCAAGTGGGCATGTGAGATGACTGATAAGCCCCCCCACCTCAGTGGCATAGCCAAGGATGAATGCGGTCCTTGGGCCAAATAATGGTTAGTAACCCCTGGAAAAGTGTAAAACAACACACAACAATTTATAGACATGTAGGAATGAACTTTCAACATCAACAATATTTTATCCAGCTTCTGCAGTGTGTGTTTTCTAAATTTTAAACATCAGGTATCAATATTGGTCGTCCTTCACAAGTTACCTTAACTTGTTTTCATTTAAGGCTCAAGCCCAATATTTGTGACAAACTTTATGTAACGAACAGGCTACCCAATACTTTTGAGAAGAAGATGGAATCACTGCAGAATCGTGGGTGACTGACTGTTGAGAACTTGGACTGAGCTGCTGGATCCCCAGGCCCAACCTTTCATCATAGCAAGGGGACCAACAGGGGCTTTTGTCTCATGGATGGCAGAGTTGTGGCTCCGGCCTGGGACGCTCCTTGAGCTGTGGCAAATGCACCATCGGCTATAGAATAATGGCAGTGTAGCTTTCTGCCCCAGCACCAAGGAAGTCTCTTTACCCGTGGGCCTCTGCACCCGTGGAGAGGGCAGTCCACAGCATCATATAGCTCCTCAGTCACCCTTGCAGGGAGCATCAGATTTCTCCCTTAAAATTGCTTTCTGTACAGCTATTCTTACCATTTTATATATAGATTTGATTTATATTCAGCCGTTGCGTAATAATTGTCATTGTTGGAATCTGAAAAAAGTTTAATTTTCCACAAGAGATTTTTGTTTTTAAAGGATGGGACCATCCTGTGTGTTATTGTGCCATTTTTCTTTATTTCCGTGGCGGTCCCCTGCTGATTAGAAAAGCACAATACACAGTTGTTAACTGTTGGAAGGGAAATTAATTGAATATGTAACAAGCACTTAATTAAATCAGTGGTTCCCTAATAACAATAACACTTCCTTTCATTTTGGCAATTAAATATTTAAGCCTGTATTTGAATATTGATTAGGATGTTACAGTTGTGGAAATCAGCAGGGAATGAACTGCAGTACCAAAGAAATAATGTGGGGCGTGTACTAGCTGGAAGCTGGGAAACTTTACTGTGGATCTGTTCTGTGAGCGCTAGGCACTGCATGCATTCGGCTGGCCTTTTAGCTTGAGTTTTGGTATAGCAGGGCAACGGAATTCTGCACTGCAGCACAAATGAATTCAAAGCCAGTTTTTGGTTCCAGACCAGAGTGGAGACTGGAAAGAAAACAGAATGCCCGGTGGTGCATGGAAGTCCGACATGCTTTCTTTTGTCACCCTAAATAGGTCATCGTCTATGAATTTTTGTTCCCATTGGGTAATTGCAGCAGACAAAAAGGGAAAAGACTCTTCATTTCCGTAGATGACTGTAAGGCAGGGTTCTATCTAGCAATAAAATAAAAAAATATGAATAATGTTTCTTTAACAGATAGTTTGAATGACTTTGGCAGTGCGCATATTTCAGCTGATTTTCATTCAAGTGTTGTTACTTACTGCGCTGAAATATTAGTAACACCAGTGCTAGTTGATTTTAGGGCATGTATAAAATATTGAGCTTAAACGTCAATTTATGGTCTTCATACAGGTGACATTCCTCTACATGTCCACATAAGAGAAACATCTGATGCTGGCAAGCCCATTGTGGTCTCACAGCCCCAGAGTGACGTGGTGAGTTTTAATGTAGTTTGCGTACAAATCTCGTCTTGTTCATTTTTGCTTTGTTTGTTACAGTGCATGTGCCACAGCTCCCAGCAGAATATTAAAAACACAATAAAACAAAACATTTAAAACTTCCCTAAATAGGGATGTATTCTAAAAGTCAGATAGTTGCTTATTTCCTTGACATCTAATGGGAGGGCGTTCCACAGGGCTGGCACCACTACCGAGAAGGCCTTCTGCCTGGTTCCCTGTAACCTCGCAGTGAAGGAACCGCCAGAAGGCCCTTGGCGCTGGATCTCAGTGTCTGGGCTGAATGATGGGGGTGAAGACACTCCTTCAGGTATACAGGGCCAATGCCATTTAGGGCTTTAAAGGTCAGCACCAACACTTTGAATTGTGCTCAGAAAGATCCTTCCATGCTAAGAAACAAAAGGAAAATTCAGAAGATTTAATAAATAGACCTTGAAGAACACTTTTCACATTATTAGAATTCATAGAATAGCCGAAGGCCCAGTTTTAAACCTGCACATATCCATTAGAAAATGAAGATATTTATAACATGATACGCACCCTGTGCAATCCAGCTACCATTTTATGCCCCCAAAATGTTCCAAAGTGGGGTGAAAAGAATTTGCTCACTACCTTCCTGTCCCAATGTCTAATAAGAAAGCCAACAAGATGCAAACAAATTTAAAATGTTGTTACTTTTCACAAGTTTATGATAAAGGAAATAATATTACCTGTGCATTCTTTTAAAATAGAAAATTAAGATATTTATTGTGTCATATTGTCTGTGCTTAGGAACTCTGAGATACCTGTTTGCCTCCTGTGTTGGGTAATATAGATACATGTGCAATCCTTATAAGGGACCCAGGCATGCAACTTGCCATGCCTTGTAGTTTCACTGTTGCAACTGGCATAGCTGGCTTCGTTTCAGTTTTAAAATACTTTGCATGATTGGTCATGGAACTGCATTGGTGAAAACTACAATGTACGTCTTGACTCTGCATGTGGTTTTACTTACCCACACACAGAAAGGTCCCTTTGGAATGTGTCCCTTGTGCTTTTTGTGCAGGAGTGTTTTCAGAAATCATAGTTTAGGAGGTGGCCAGGAAGAGGAACCTCTCTTTATAAATCTGTAAAGCTTTAAAGCAAGATAAAGTTCATGCCTTATTTCTGAAGTTGAGGCCCCAAGGTCTTTTGCAGTCCTCTGTTCATCTGTAGTTACAACTTGACAGCATTTCTGCCATTTCTTGGCTGTTTTATTTCTCTTTGCACTACAGAGCAGGCCTTTGGCCTCCAATTGATGGGTCAGCAAATTGTTAATGTTAAGCTGTCAACTTTTCCCTTTGCTAAGGAAAACGCACACCTTTCTTTGCAGAAAGATGAGCTATAGAAAATCCCATTTAGAAACCTCAAAGCAAAAAGAACAGAAAAATCTCTAAACTGAGAACATAGTTTATTAATATGAAGACAGTTCAGAATGATAAATGAGAACTGTAAATTTCTCCTTTCCATTTCCCGCCATTAAAATTCTCTTGTTTCACTTCAATCCGTCTTGTGTTGCTTAGAAATGATGGCACAAACAGTTCAGTCCAGCTTTCTAATCAGATAAATAGCCCATTAGGAAGAATATGACTAGGAGAAAAAGTTCAGCATGTGTACATGTTAAGTTTATGAAACGTGGAATCCAGGTTTGTTGTGGTTTTGATCGATTCTTGCCTGTTGATGAAGGATGCAACAAGAAGGGAAATACCTTATGAAAAACTCACAAATTACACCCCCCCCCCAAAAAATAGCTAATGATCCTATATAGGAGTTTCAGTGGGTACTTTCCAGTGCAAGGTCTCCCCATCCCATCCAGTGAACCAAAATTTCATGGCACAGAAGCTGCATTATTTGTCAACATTCTGTTGGTGACGCATTTCTTCTCTTACAATTAGAAAGTGTCTAAACGTTTCATTACATAACAGCTCAGCCAAGGGGTGGGAGCTGGTTTGCTGATGACAGAAGACAGCCAGTTTGTTGCCTGTTTTATATAATATTTTATGCTGTTTTACTCTGACCTAGGAGATAAACACATTGCCATTTTTAAATATTTTTACAGGCCCAAGCCTATCTGAAGATTGCTGCTGAAATAGTGAAAAGACTGCCAGTTTCTCCAACTTAAAGCCATATTTTTGAGGTTCTGTGACTAGAACTCTACCATTTGAAGTGACAGAATAAATGATATATTATGGAACATGCCTTATTTTTTATTTTGTCTCGGAAAATTAAATGTCAGTACCAACTTAGTGTGATTGTCGTATCAAACATTTGAAACAAACTTTCAGCATGCTTTAGCAGCAAAAAGCACCAAAGACCCAACACATATTTGGAACTCAAGATTTTTAGTGCATCATTCAGTAGGCCTGGTATTAAAGAGGAAGAGATATTTAAAGAGATTTTAGCATCTTTATGTAGGTGGACTGACAAACACCAGAATGCACCACTGCATGTGTGGTCAGTTTGTTTCTCTCTGTCATGTGTCTGAATTAAAGATGAAGATACTAGAAATGTAAGATAATTATGCTCAGCTTTGAAGAATTATCATTAGCCAAGATTCACTTATAAGCAGTCAAACAATTAACTAAGAATCCCAAGAACTGGCTTTTTTATGTATTCTATCAGCTTATGTTCGATCATAAGATAATTTTCTTATTGTAATTGTCTGGGGAAATTGCTCCATTTCCTTTGTCTTGTTGAGCCTGAATAAACCCAAAAATCAGCAACAAGCTCTTCATTAAAATTAGATGCATCTGAGATCAGGTTGCCAAAGGAGGAAACAAGTGATAAAAATTAATTACTGATGCTTGCATATATGAATATTTTCCCGCTAGGAAATAATAGCCCTGAATCTATAAACAAAAAGATCTAATTGCCCTTTTTTTATCAGTGCATACTGCGTGGTTTTGTCTGAATTTCCTACTGCCTTAAGTCTTGCATCATTATTTTCTGCCGATAGAGCCGGTCACAGCAGGGGGAGGGGGAACTGAATATGAATGCATCTAGGATTTAGGCTTACATAAACTGAAAGTGTGTTTGTACATGATGGTGTATTAGCGTCTCTCTATTCAATTCTATATATTTTTGGTTCATGCTACTATTTGCTCCTGTTATATAGGTTCTAATGATAACGTACAATCACTCATACACAGAATAAGCAAGACAACAGGGTGTATTCTATATAGCGCTAAGGGGAACATTCCATCAGCACAATAATTTATCCTAAGTGGTGGAACATTCTCCTCCCCTGCTCTCACCCTCCTGCATGCCATCTAAATCTGTTTCCCTTGCCTTGCAAATCTAGGGATAGCTTGTGCTAGTCCAAAAAATTAGGCCTAAAATTTTACTGAAAAAGGTTATGTGAGTAGCTGTTTGATTTTTAGAATATAGACTGGATTCCTTCCATTTTGTTCTCCAGCATATATTATTCAAATATATACAGTCTCCCTATGAATTCACAGGATCTGAGATAAAACGTGGTAATGATACTATAGGTAATGGGAAATAAGCGTTCTATCAAGGCTTTCCAAAGCAGGCTTCCCAAGGGAGTGAAAGTGAGATAGATTGTGCTGAGGCCTTATTCCAGGAGTGCATCTCTCAGCACCACTAAGTTATTTAGTGGTTCGTATTGTAGGGGCAAGGTGCCTCCCATTCTTCCTTTTACTGAGCTTGACTACGATGACTTTTATAGCACTGATTGGCTTTTGGAGAGACTGGATCCAGGTGCACCATTCTCAAGTTTCCATCGTGGAAGGACAAAGGCACACATCTTCTCCCTCTTGTTTATTATACTGAGCGTTGGCAAACTGAGTCTATGATTAAAAGTTTCCTAGAGCATCCATGAAACGTTTCTTTATTTTTGTGTTGCAAATTTTTGTGTTGTGTTTAAATAAGAAAGAAGGAATTTTGGCAATTTAGTAACAATATAAATCAGCAATACTGATTTATAAATCCTTGCATCTTTTATCCATAACAGGATCAAAGTAGCCTGTGCATGCATGTATGAATGCTATTGTTGCCATGTGGACTTCTGTTTGGAATACACTAGTAAGAGTTGTTTGGCATCCATCTGTCTCAGGAGACAATGGAAGATAATGTTTTCTGGGGTGAAGACAAACCATGGGAGAGTTACAGCACCAGCTGTGGCTGTAGAGACCGATATGAGAGAGACATGTTTTGTTGCAGCTGATGCATGTGTAGCATAGCGTTTCTTCTTTCTGTGCTTCACTCAGCAGTCATTCCTTCTTTGGTTGCTATGGATACACAACCTGATTGTCTCCAGACACTGCAGTTGTCTGCAAGAGATTCCCACATGGTGGGGTTAATGTTGCCATCACATCCTGGCATGTGATGCCCCAAATTTTCCTGATGCAGCGCATGTGGGAGGCATCATTCCTAGCAGGTGTAAGTTGCCCATGTCTCACTACCATAAAGTGGTGTTCTCAGCACACAAGCCTGGTAGACCTTCATCTTGGTATTGGTCATTGGCCTCACATTCTCCCATACCCTTTTGGAGAGGTGAGCCGTTGCTACAGCTCCCTTGCCAAAATGCTCAGCATTGATGGAGAAGTTTTGGTTATGGTGGAGCCCAGGTAGACAAAATTGTCTAGCACTTCAAGCATGTGGTCACGAATGCTGATGCTTGGCGTGCTGGCGATGTTCTGACCCAGGATGTTGGTCTTTGTCAGGTTGATGGTAAGGCCGAACTCCCTGCAGGTTTGGGCAAAACAGTTGATGAGATCTTCCTCAGAGTGTGCTGTCAAGGCTGCAAACATCTCTCAGATGAGGACCTGCTGCACTTTTGTCTTGGCATGGAGACATGGCAGATTGAATGAATCCCTGTCGCTCCTTGAATGGATTTACACACTGTCTTCAGTCTCGTTGAAGGCATATGAAAGCAACAAGGAGAAGAATGTGCACAAAGAGTTGGGTTGAGAACACAACCCTATTTTACACCACTCTGAGGATGAGCCATCATATTAGACATGTTATTGTGGAAGGACATGGTCGGTCATCTGGTGGAGCTTCCTACTTTATTGAGCAGTGTGAAGAGTCCTTTTCGACTGCCAACCCATTGATTTCAGTATTCTCTTGCTGGTATTGATTAAATTGCTTTTTAATCACTGGTATATGTTGGATGGATTTATTGTATTTTACATACTTTTGGAACCTGCTCTGTGATCACTTGATGTGATGAAAGGTGGTCTCCAATTTTTTGAAGCAAGATATCATTTAAAATATCCATATATGTTTCACTGTTAGTTTTGAAAAATCAAATAATGAGAACGCATCAGTTCTACTGTTTACTGTTTGTTGCTCTTTTTTTGTAATTTATCCATTTTACCAGTTGCTTTTCCAATGCTGAAAATTCAGTATTATTGCTATTTCATACATGCAGATGTGTTAGTTGATTACAGAACTGAGCTGCTTTACTTCACTTTTCTATCTAAAAATAAATGTTTAGTGTTTTTTTAAAACAACAGCAGCAGCAGCAGCAATAAACTCTGCTATCTTACAGTAAAAATTGCAAATGTTGCTAAAGCTAGCCACTGCAGAAAGCCATTAAAATACTTCAAGAAAAGGAGCCAAAGGCCTGCTGAAATAGAACAGTCTTATATGGCCAAAGACAAGTAAAGATGGAGCCAGGTGATTTGGAAAATCAATAAAAAAATAATTGGGGGGAAAAGACAGAGCCAGGTGGACCTCCTTTGAGAGGATGTTCCAAAGTCTCAGCAGAAAGAACACTTGATGGCTCCTAACTGAATGTGTGAAATGCTTCTGTTGAAAAGCACTGTGTTTTGATGTGAGACAGAAGTTCTGTTTCGGCATTTAAGAGCTCTTATGTGAATTAAAGTTGAAAAATGACCATAAACTTGGCGGGAGGTTTGGTGGGGGACGGACTTCTAAGTGCCTGGAGAAAGTTATTTTTGTGGAACACTTGATGGAAAATTCTAAACAAAATGTGACCCCAAAGGACGATTCAGCCCTGAAATAAATATTTTTCCAAACACCTGGAGCTCCTGGAGATCATATATAAAATCATCAAGTCTTGCATGCGTCTGGCAAATGACTCTGCCTGCATTTGAAATTATCCACGGATAATGGACAGTTGCATCTGGAGAGACTGCCAGGACCACAGCACTGACTGGGAACATAAGCTGTCCCAGTGTAAAAGTCAGGCCCAGGGCATGGTCAGTTGAGAAAACTAGGACCAGGATGATCAAGCCATCCCCTGGCAGGGACCTTGGGCTTGACTGTTCCATTTTCTAGAGAGATGGGATATAGCAGCATTGGGGGCCTTCCTTGGAGTGTTGCCCACAGGTAAACAGTGTGGAGAGAGCCAGGGACAGGATGAGTAGAGAAGGCTGGCTGAGAAGGAACCAGTATGAAGTAACGACATCTGTACTGAATCCACAAAGAAAAGCAATTTTTCTGAGCAGCTTATCAATTATAGGAGTGGAACTGACTGCTGAGTGAACATGTACAGGTTCGAGCATCTCTTTTTGTATTACTTTACCACACTCTTAACACAATTCCACCCACCCCCCAATGGGTGAAAAAGCAGGGGGGCTGTTTTGAGGGCAGAAAAAGTGGCTGATGGTGAGGTGGTTAAGGAGTACTTCCCCACTATTCTTTCCTGCAAACTGGCACCCGGTTTCGTTTATTTTAAAATAATCTGACTTTTCATGTTTCCTGTGCGACCTCTGATTTGGCCCCATCCTAAAACACTTTCCATGCTAGTTTCAAGAGACTGCAGTCTAGGGACTCTCAATGCTTCATGTCGGAATGATGGCAGCAGCTCCAATCCAGCTGGGCTTGATGTTGTGAGAATAGTTATGTAAAAGTACCAACCATGCTGTGCAATTAAACTTCCCCTACAGAGTAGGAAGAGTAGTCATGGCATAATTGTACACGTCATATAATTGTGCTATTAGCGCAATTAAATGCGTATTTATTTCTCTGGCTGCTTTCTCCACTCTTTATTTTTAGCTGGTGTTCTAAATAAAACTGCTGATAGGGAAGCAAATTAACCTCAAGTGTTTCTTCACACAAAATAAGAGATTTAAGTATACAGTTCTTGAGCTTCTTTTTCCTTTTTGGTAAATAAAGCATTTCCACAGATTTCGATGGGTCAGACATATGTGTGGTTGTGTTTAGCAACTTAGGTCACATTTTACCGGCTGGTGTGAATACCTTATAAACTGCTGTATGTACTATTGTGTATCCTCAAATTATGTTCAATAATGGTAACATTTGGTAAATGTTTTGCCAGTCCTGAAACTTCGTAAATGTATTTTTGGCTTGCAAATCTTGGGGATTTAAGGTCCTTGAGATAGCTTTGTGACTGTGGCACTAAGCAAGTATTTTCAGATAAATCTGTATCACTTACAACACTGTAGCTACACTGTTTGCCTGTGCTTTGTAAGGTTGACAGTATCATACAGAAAGAGCTATAGAAACACTTGTTTTTCCATACATCATATGTATACATTCTGTCAAAATATGCTCATGTGCATCTCACCCTTTAAACAGCTGTGCATAGGATGCCTTTAAATCTTTCTAATGCAGCAGCAGCCTTGATTTAAATTAAACAATTATTTTAATGGGCAGGTGCTCAACAACAGCATGTTGGCTTTACTATGTATGCTTACCTGTACTGCTCCAGCCTATATTTTGGTTTTAAAGCCACTTCACTTACAGAAATGCAGTTTTATTCTTGTTTTAGTCTAGTTTTGTTTTAGTCTAGTTTTAATATGAAAATGAATTGCAACTTAATATTCAGTTGGCACCTCCCTTAGATATTTAGGCAGCTGAAGTTAAGATATGCATCTGCAGGGACCAATTTGCCAAAGGATTCTTATCAGCTGTAAAGTAAAATTGTTCAGTGGTCTCAGAGAAGAAGATGCAAAGGTAGAAGAACTAACCTAGAGGCCAGGAACCTGTGGCCCTTCAGATCACAGATTTCATGGGTCATAGGCCCTGAATTGCAGGCAAAATTCTACCATTTTCTTGAGCCACATCTGATGGGGGACAATTTGGATTTGAGACCTCAGTATTATCTGCTGCTGCATAGCAAGTATACCTGTTTATTTGGAAGAGAAGCCTCTCCCCTATCCCCTGGCTGGTATTTCAATAAACTTTGTACATTATGGTATGGTTGAATATTCAGCAGTCTAGAAATACTTCCTTAGTGACTCTCCCACTGCAACTGGCAGCAAAGGACTCTTTGGGTTTTCATGTTTGCACATTAACAGTAGTTTTGACCTGAATTTGACCCAGGCTGACGTTCTCCGAAACTGATCAAAGATCAGAACAGAATATTATATGGCTGCCCATAATTGCAATACACACTTGCTGCTATACTTTCTTTTGGTTAGATAGTGTTTGTTTTATTTTGTAGTATTATTAGTCTTTTCATATTTTTTTCAAATCCGCATCGTGGGGTGAGCTCCCGTTGCTCTGTCCCAGCTTCTGCCAACCTATCAATTCAAAAGCATGCCAGTGTGAGTAGATAAATAGGTACATCTGTGGCAGGAAGGTAAATGGCGTTTCCGTACGCTCTGGCTTCCAAACGGTGTTCCATTGCGCCAGAAGCGGTTCAGCCATGCTGGCTACATGACCCGGAAACTGTCTGTGGATAAACACCGGGTCTCTCAGCCTGAAAGCGAGATGAGCGCTGCAACCCCATAGTCTTTGACTGGACTTGGGGTCCTTTACCATTTATTTATTGTGTATTTGAAAGATCTATATTTTATCCACAGAAGTGAAAGTAACGATTGCCAGCAATGAGTAAACAGACCACATCTTGTTTCCGAAACAGGATAGTTCGAAAAGCAGT